TGGCGTTGATACTCGGCTGAGAGGTCATGCCGGACAAGCTGTCAGTGGCAGCGTCGACAGCGTCAGCACCAGCCTTGGCGCAGGCGACCATGGACGCAACACCAGTACCGGCGGAGTCGTGGGTGTGGACGTGAATGGGGAGGTCGGGGTACTTGGCACGGATGGCACCGACCAGCTTGGTGGCAGCGTACGGCTTCAAGACACCAGCCATATCCTTGAGACCAAGAACGTGGATGTCGAGAGCGACGAGCTTGTCGACGAGGTCGAGGTAGTACTCCAGGTTGTACTTCTTCTTGGGGTTCAACACTGTAACGTTTATTAGCAAAAGAAACATAACTCATGATGACAGTTAAAGAAAGGGAACACTTGCAGTCGCCGGAAATGCAAACTGTTCCTTCAACGACACCACCGGCCTTGTGGACGGCCTTGATACCGACCTCGAGCTGGTCGATGTCGTTCAAAGCATCAAAGACACGGAAGATATCGACACCGTTCTTCTTAGCATGCTCGACAAAGTGGTCGATGGCGTTATCAGGGAGCGATGAGTACGCAACACCGTTGGCTCCACGGAGAAGCATCTGGAAGGGAATGTTGGGAACTGCCTTTCGCATGCGGCGAAGACGGTCCCAGGGGTCTTCGTAGAGGAAGCGGTAGGCAACGTCGAAGGTGGCACCTCCCCAGCACTCCAGAGAGTACAGGTTGCTCAGGCCGTGGCTAGTCTCCTTAGCAATGTTGAGCAAATCAACGGTACGGACACGGGTGGCCAGCAGAGACTGATGGGCATCACGCCATGTGGTGTCCATGAGCAGCGTTCCCTTGTACTCGCGGACAGCCTTGGCGAAGGCCTTGGGACCCTGCTCAGTGATGATCTGTCTCCAGCCCTTCGTGCAGGTGGCAGAAACATCGACCTTGGAACCGTCGTCGTTGAGGAGCTCGGGAAGGATGATGTCACCCTTGAACTTGGGCTCGCCAATCTGGCCCTTGATGCTGCTACCGTTGACGGCGACGTCACCGAGGTAGGCGAGAAGCTTCTGAGCACGGTTCTGGCTGCCAATGAGGTCGAACAACTGAGGAGTGTCGTCGATGAAGGTGGTCCAGCAGTTGCCGTCAATGAAGGTGGGGTGAGTAAGGAGGGAAGCGAGGAAAGGAATGTTGGTCTTGACGCCGCGAATACGGAATTCGACAAGGGCACGGAGGACCTTTCTCCTAGCAATCTCGTAGGTGGAACCGTGGCAGGTGCACTTGACCAACATGGAATCGTAGTAAGGGGTAATGACAGCACCGGCGAAACCGTTACCACCGTCGAGACGGACACCGTTGCCACCAGCGGAGCGGTAGACCTCAATCTTTCCGGTGTCAGGCTGGAAGCCCTTGGCGGGGTCTTCAGTAGTGATTCTGCACTGAATGGCGAAACCTCTGGTGGAGATGCGGTCCTGGGTCAGACCAAGCTGCTGCAGGGTGGCACCGGCAGCGATCTGGATCTGAGCGGCCACAATATCGATACCCGTGATCTCTTCCGTGATGGTGTGCTCGACCTGGATACGGGGGTTGATCTCGATAAAGTAGTATCTGTTCTGCTGGTCGACCAAGAACTCGGCGGTACCGGCGTTGCGGTAGTTGACCGACTTGGCCAGCTTGACGGCGTCGTTGAGAATGGCATCGCGGACGTCGGAGGGAAGGTCCTTGGCGGGGGCGATCTCAACGACCTTCTGGTGACGACGCTGGACGGAGCAGTCACGCTCGTACAGGTGGACAATGTTGCCGTGGTTGTCACCGAGAAGCTGGACCTCAATGTGCTTGGGCTTGTCCAAAAATCGCTCGACGAAGACTGTGCCGTTGCCGAAGGCGGACTTGGCCTCGGAGGTGGCTCTCTCAAAGTTCTCCTTCAGGGTCTCCTGGTCGCGGACGACACGCATACCACGACCACCACCACCGTAGGCAGCCTTGATGATGATGGGGAAACCATATTGATCGGTGAAGCTCTTGACCTCCTCAAAGGTGGCGACGGCGCCTTCGGTACCGGGAACGACGGGGACACCGGCAGCGATAGCGAGGGTTCGGGCAGAGACCTTGTCACCGAGCGAGTCAATGACATCGGCGGAGGGACCAACGAACTAAGAAGGCACATCGAGTCAGTAGTGTTATCAGATTTTAGGGGGAGATTTTAGCGGGATGTCTCACGATCAGACCGGCCTTCTCAACGTTGCGAGCGAACTCGGCGTTTTCTGAGAGGAAACCATAACCTTTTGGCGGTGTGTTAGTGTCTTGACCACAGCATCTGGACAAGATGCGTTTTCTTACCAGGATGGATCATTTGCGCGCCGTGCTCGACGGCAATCTTGATAATCTCGTCTCCAGCGAGATAGGCACCGACCGGGGTGTACTGGCCGCGCTTGCCAATGACGTATGCCTCATCGGCCTCTGTGGAACGCGGGTTAGAAGGGTGCTTTGGGGAATGTTCAAAGGCTAGATGGGGACTTACTCTGTCTGTGCATGGAGAGACGGTCCTCATAACTGTCAGGGAGTTAGTATGTAGAGCTTGGTGGTTGCCCAGGTGGTGCGCTGTACCTGAAGACTGCGATGGTGTGCAGCGAAAGCTCGTGGGCCTGTAGAGAGTCAGCGCTGGGTCTTCTAGCGCCAGGACGGCCGTGTTAGTTGGAAGAAGTTGGGTAACATACTGTTCTGAAGATCTAGACACATTCCAACGTAAGCATCACTGTTTCTGAAGCATTACCTGAGCTGGAACAAGAATCAACATACACGAATGGCTAGAAGGTGGTGGTGGTTAGCTTGCGTGAGTCAGGAGCTCGGCTGGATGGAAGCACTTACGAATTTCACCACGGTTGGCCACTGTAGAGGGGTAAAAGACAAAGGGTCAGCATAGTTCTTGGATCCAGATCCAATAGCGCGAGAAGCCAGGGGGAGAGAATCCAATGGCCTCTCGAGAGAGCTGCGACTCACCCAAGATCTTCTTCAGGTGCATGATGCTCGAGTTGGCGCGGATGTGGTGGATGGTCTGGGGGTCCTTCTGGACCTCCTCAACGTCGCCGTCCTCGAAGACATCGTTGAAGGTGACCTGTGTTTGAGCCATATTGGGCGGTTGTGTGTGTGTGTGTGAAGAGAGGACAGGAAGGAAGAAGAGGAAGGCCGAACGGATTCAGAAGCTACGACGGCCCGTATTTGAATGGACCGAGGAGCAGGGGAAGCTGTTGAGGTCTCAGTTGCGAGACAATTGCGTCGGGGTGTCGGTTGGCGGGGTGGTTTGGTCTGGGTAACTTTGGTTTGGGTTGGTGGGGTTATCTCCCAGGTCTCCCAAGCTTTAAGCCGGTCTAGGTCTGGGTCCAGGGCCGGTTCGGACGTGCCGCCTGGCTTTTTTTTTTCTCCTCAGGTGCAGATCAGGCGCAGCAGGATGCGGCGGCGCGGGTACAAGGCCAGGGGTGACTGATGAGCCGAAGACCGAAGTTTGAAGCGCGCAACTGTTGTTGTTGCTTGTGCTGCTGTGACTGCTGGTTTGTGGTTTGCGGTGGTGTGTGGGCTGCGGAAGTTGAGCCGAGGGGGTATCGATTCGACACGAGAGGTGAAGATTAAGAGCCGAGGGGTAGCTCTGGGAGGGGAGCTGCTGCTTGTCTTCTCTACCGGGGAGAGAGAGAGTAGGGAGGAGCTTCGATGACAGGCGAGCACAGCTCTACTCTATTAACACCCGTCCGACCGAGAGGGACAGAAAGTGGGTGTCGGTGGTGGGGGGGTATGACGGTGGTGGATGCGAGTAGGTACGGATGGTTGTTGAGTGGTATCTTATGGAGGAGCACAAACAACGAAGCAAAGCAGCTGACAGCAACTACAGCAAGTATGGTAGAGAGCCAGCAAAAGAGGTGGAAGCACGGAGGACGAGAAGAGGAAGTGAGAAATGACGGGATGAACTGGAAGCTTGAGGGACGAGGGGATTTATTGTAATTTGAAAGCTGGGAGCTTGTGAGTAGCTGTGTCAGGGCTCGCTCGATACATGTATCGATGGAAGGGCTGGTTCCCCCCGTCTTCACAACTCTGTTGTGCTTCGGCTGTAAGTAGATAGTTGGTGTAAGACTGAGGTGTAGCAGTAGTCACAGTCTCATGGTAGACAGCCCCTGGCAAACATTCTTTCGTCCAGAGTGCGTAACGGGCCATGATCTGTGATTAGTAGGTACACCCCAGCTTAGACCGAATAATGGCAGACAGAGATAGACCAGACCAGGCCAGGCCAGATCCATCCGCCCATGTCCACCGTCCACCCTCAGTCACAGTTCAGACCAAGCCAATCTTGGTGTTGCAGATGGCCGGAGTGACTTGCTCAACGGCAGGGAACCCGCGACGACGATGCTGTAACTGGAGACTGGAGGCTGGCGGCTGGAGCTGGGATTGAGTGACATGGCAAGAAAAGAGACGGAGAGCGAGGGACTTGTCCACCCTTCGGTGTCATGAAGGAGGGAACCTTGTCTTCAGCTGCTAGCGCCAAAGTAAAGTATTTTCTGAGGGTCGTCTGTACCGGTGTACTTCCATGGATGCAATTCACAGCCAGAGATGCAAGAGGGACGCGTTGCAGACGCCGCTGGGACGGTGAAGATTTGGCTCAGACGGAGCATAGGATGGTGGTGGGATGGATGGATGGATGGATGGAGGGGAAGAAGAGGGGTGAGACCGCGGAACATGTACCAAGGTACCGAGGTACAAGGTACATCCATACCTAGATACCTAGGCAGGTAGGTAGTTTTCCCCCCTTCCCTTCCTGCCCCCCTCGTCCACTGACACTCCTCGATTGTGGTAGCTGCCCTGTCTAGGACAGGAGCTTAGGCCACTCTGCGATGTAAGCTGCACTACTCAAACAGCCGCTTTGTCGCGGCAAGAAGGACAAGAGAAAAAAAAAGAAGGAGCCTCCAGAGAGTCCAGAGGGGGAAAGAAGAGACCCAAGAAAGTCACCCCCGAACGCTATTAGGTACACGATATGCCAATCAACCACCAAGACGATGACTGGACCGAAAATGACATGCCATAACATGCAATGGAATGTCTCCCCGGCATTCGGCTTCTCGATGTTCATCTCCCATGTCCCCCACCTGACTGACGACAACGGCGGCATGGCATGGCTGATCCTCGCACTTGGGATGTCTGCAGTCCACCGCCTCGCCTTGCTGCCGTCCTTGGCATTAGGTTGAGACGGATGCAGAGCAGTGTCACTCAAGTTCCATTTCCAAATGCCTTCAACTTGATGACTCCATCTTGAAGAGGAAAGTTGATGGAAAGGCCCGACAACCTGCCAAGGATCAAGGTGCGACAGGTACCCGTATCCAGTATCCATACCGCGTAGGAAACGTCCATGGGAGACCAACCTGAGATGCTGATACCTCTTGGCTCTGCAATGCCCCCGCGAGAGAAACGCCGTGAGAGTCTGAGAAGAAGGACGCCTGCCCTGAGAATAGCAGCAAGACCCCCGATCCCCGCCCATCCCTGACCGAGATCTGTTTCCACCGGCTCCAGCCTCCGTCTCCGTTTATTAGGTCGTCTCCAGCCCGCCGGCGCCTTGACCGCAGCTCCTGAGACGATTGGTGAGGATAGCCAAGAGATCTACCTTCAACAGAAACGACCCCCAAAGAAACACTGTTATCTTTAGAATATGGAACAGCCTCATAGTGAACATGGCAAACCAGAAGAACCTCACGAGAGGCGTCTACCAGGACCCTCAAACACAAGGCCTAGATCTGAAGAATGCAGCCAGCAGTAACAGAAAATAAATAAATATTCTAAAAGTAAAGAAAGATTGGCGGGGTCGCAAAACACCGCTAGACCAGAAGGAATTGACCAACCAGAGCCTGCCGATACAAACAGCTCTACTCCGGTTGACTAACGGTTTCTCGAGGTGACTACTTCAGGACGGGGTTAGTGACATTGCCGGCATGACAAGTGCCTGCTGTCTGTCTATGGGCAACATGGGAAACAGCAGACAAGCACTGTCAACCGATACAAGCAATAAGTGCCTATGCTCGTTACGAGTTCTCAGGAAGCAAGACAGATTGGCACCGACAGCATCCTGTGCAAACAAATGCAAGTTAACAACTGGACTTGCCAATTCAATAGACATCAGTATGGAAAGCACCCCAGGTAGTAAAATGTACCTTGTACTTCGCGTCTGTCTTTTTCATCTTTTTTGAAGGTAGGTACGGGTGGTGGCGCCTGTCACAAGGCAATACCGCCATTACCATGAGCAACTAGCGGCAGGCAGACCGACAGTACTGCACCTCACTCTTTCCTTCCTCAGTGCTCTCGGCTTCCCTTCCACCCTCAGGTACCTTGTAAGTTACCTTACCCCAAGTTGCCGTCTACCATGTCACATCAACTCGTCAACTCCCGAAAGAAAAGCAAAACATTCGGCAAACTTCGCGATGCCACGAGCACTTCACGGCTTCACGAGAATAACCTCATGGGTCTTCCGGGCCTCTTGACTGCCGAAGCCGAGGATAACACGGCTTTGCGCCGTGTCCTTCGTGCGTCCGCGTCTTGGAACCAGCACCACTGCCACCAAATCACCACAACTACCGGCTACTCCCTTTTTGCTTCGGGACAACTCGACGCGATATCAGCCTTTGATGGATAATCTTTCACCTGCTCGTCAACTCGTCCCTGACCTTTTTCGCCCTTTCTGCCCCGCGGTCCAATCCATTGCACAATGCGGGGTGACTTTCACAGGGTTCATCCGTCCGGCGCGTCATGCTGTACTCGTGCCCCTTTATCATTGTTCCCGAGGCGTGTGCTAGGTACCGCTTACAGCCTACGGCAACGAGAGAGCAAAGGAGACCGAAGATATCGTCGACCTCGGTTTCTTGCCCCGAGGGACATGGCGGCGGCTTGACGGGTCACGGCTGCGTGCCCAGGAACGACGACAAGGCAGGCCACGCCGACCTTGGCCCGGCCTGGCTATCCCACCTAGCCGCCAACCAACCTCCGCCCACACTTTCTGTTCTTCAATTAGGGGGATGGACATCACCACATGTGCAACAGGCCAGCAATACGTACGAGGCCACACGGGGGGTATGGAAGCGCACCACCCCCCAGACCCTCCAGGTTCTTCTCAATCTTGACAAAACCACGCATCTCCATAAATTACTTGAGCGTTATTCCCGGTCCACTAGTCAGATCTCTCCCACTACCAACTCCAATCTCGCATCATTGGTTACATGAGTTATCTGGGCTGTCCTAGATTCCTAGACCACCTTCGGATCGACTTTACAACGTCTTTGAAACGACAACGACGACGGAGGGTTGGAAACGTCAAATCAGTATAGATGCAAGTCTTCGCATCAGCCATCTGATTCTCGACTCATCACACCGCCAAGGTGCCATGCTGGATCTCACTTGCGCTGCAAGTTCAAGGGCGACTCGGCCAGATTATCCTACGCAGCTAAGCCCGGACTACTGGGTAACCTACGATCCAAGACTCTTGGCCCCCCATCTGCAACAAGGCTATTTTTTTCTTTCCGTTTCCTCTTTCTGCCCCCCCAGATCGCGCAAGCACCAAAGCGGCGTTGGCAAGGCCGCAAAGCGCGAAGGAGCGAGAAAATTTGACATGAATTTTTGGAAATAAGCCCACCATGAGATGAGGATGACATTCGACCCAGATCTGGATACTCCGACCTCGGCTGGTCCGGCATTTGGGCATTCGAGCTTCTTGGTCAAAGAAACTGCGCACGTCTACTCACGGCGTATCTTCAGTCCGCCACCAAATCAGCGCGTGGATGTCGATGGTAATAGCAATTAGCGATGGCTTCATGACATGCTGCGACATTTATCTCACCTGGCTGGCCCCCCCTTTCCTTCTTTAGGAGGAAAGGGTCAGCCAGCTTGCGTGATCGGCCTCTGTGTGACTCTTCCAGGTCCGGATATCACAGGTTATTTGAGGCATACGCCGTCTGCGTACCCGCCCTGCACCCCACGATTAATCACGCCGGACTCCAGCACATGCGCGGTCCCAAAAGCGAAGATGGATCTGCACTCGGCCGGCCGTCCGGCGAGATCTGCGGCCTGTCCAAGACTCCAAGTGCCAGCAGCGAGGGAGGGGAGTGGGGGTCATCATGTCGGTGCTCTCGCAGTTTCGGAGAGGGCCACCATGTCACCGTGCCACCATGCCATGGTGGTGCCGTATACAGTATCCTCGACTCTCGCGGCTTTTTGGTCCAGAGGAGATGAGACGACACCCTATTTTTTGACTCATCGAATTTAGCTCACCCTGTACTGTCTCCGGCCCCGGCCCTGGCCCTTGAAACTATGCGCGATTCGCCCGAAATAGGAGGGCTCCGCTCCGCTCCGTCCGTCAGGGACGTCAACTGAGGCCCAGAAGAGCGGTTGATTTGGATCCTTGATGCGCGGAAGAAGAAGACGACAGGACCATTTTTTTTCTTTGGTTGTAAGGACTTTGAGAGTTCGGGTCAGAGCCCCGAGAACCGCTGGCCCACAGTCAAAGCACCGTCAGTCAAGACGACGACAGCCTCCGTGCCCATTTTCATTCGCCTGCGGCTCGCCATTACTGCTACCCACCTTATTCAGGTCCATGAGGTAGTACCTTAGTCCAGGCTGCTTGCTTGGCTTGCGGACCTTAACCCTTTGCTGCCAAGCACATCACTTTGACTTTTCACGATTCAGAGCTGCCACACTTGCCGGGTTCCAGAAACAGTTCGCTGTTCTATTCTACGACTTTGCGGGCCGCAATGAAGAGGCTCGTCCCCGAGTGTTTCCCCGGGGAATCAGGGTCCGTTTCCGAAAAGCAAAACAACAATGCAAGGTGATGGTACAGAACCGCCAGCTACCGTCCGCCGCGGCTGGGCAATGCCACGTTATGCCACGCTATGCTGTGCCGTGCTGTCGACGGGGATTCCTTCCCGTCAAGACCTTACCACAGCCGTGGGCTCATGACAAGCCCTCGGCGCTCTTTTCACATCAAACTCGAACATCCCCCTCTGCGTCGTTATTATGTTGGCGAGGGCCTTTCCACACCCAGCCAGCAAGTGTCTTCCGCCTCGTATCGCCCCCTTTCCAAGCTTCTCCCTCTCCCTCGAGTGAGGGTTCACACTTATTTGCCGACAGCCTCCTTGACCTTGGTCTCGACCTTGGCCTCGATGGCATCAGCCTTCTTCTGAACAGTCTCGAACGCGTCCTTGGTTGCGGAAGCCTCCTTTCCTCCCCAGTAGTTGTACTGCATGTAACGGTATCCCTGGGTAAGCTGGGCGCCCTCGTTGATGAAGTGGCACATGAAGAGGAGGTAGTTCTTGGGCGAGACGGCGAGGGAGTAGCGCATGAAGGTGGCAGAGTAGATGCAGAGAGCACCCGTCATCTGGCCGGAAATCCTACAAAAAGGAGATGGTGTATCAGCATCTTATCTTGTCCGAGGAAGCGGATAGCGGGGAGACGAGGAAGGATTCGACGTACAGGTCGGGTGACTTTTGGGTGTCCATGACAGCGGCCAGAGGGATACCAAAGTTAGAGACGGGGCCCCAGAAGTCTGTGGTGCATAACGGGTTAGCTTGCCGTCCAGAGTCCATCTTGAAGCTATCGCGAGCGGCCGGCACCGGAGTATCGTGGTCCGTAAGCGCCGGGGGTCTGGAGGGGGGCGGTCCGGCACGCCAATCGCGACGGATTCGATCAAACGAGCTGCATCAATGATTGTCCGGGACTCGAGGATGCCATGCGATAGCTGGTGATAGCTTCAAGCAAGCTCCCTTTTCCCATTTGCTGTGTGGGATAATCCCCGCTAACTCCGGACAACGGAGCTGCGAGAGAATGAAAAAAAATTCGAGCGCGGGCAAAAACGTACGGGTAGAGCAGACATAGTCCGACACAGGGTTGGACCTGATCTTCGCGTTGATCGCCTTGACAATAGCAGCCATTTTGAATATGGTGTTTGTGGTTTGGAAAGGGATTATCGTGAAGGGGCAATTGGCAAGAGGTTGGTCGGAGAGTGGAAGAGGCGGCGGCGGACAGTTTTCCAGGTTTGGATCGCGAAATTGTTGAGAGGCAGAGGCGATGACCAAAGCTCATTCCTCCCTCTGCAGACAGACACTGCTGCTGCTGCGGCGCTCCGAAATTTCGCGGGCGCGGACTGGACGTGCACTCTACGCTGGCACACTGTCTGGCACACTCCCGCGCACCTTAATCGGACGGGACGGGG